TCCAGTAGGCTGTTTGTTGTGCTACCTTTTAGTTGTTTTGTTTATCTCTCTTTTTTCCTGTGTATTTGAATGACGTGTGGATGCTTGTGAAGCACATGATTTGTTGTGTCTTTCTGTTTTGTTTTTTTTGTTTTTTTACTATACTTTTTGTTTTTTGGAAAAAAAAGTAAGTAATATTTGCGCTGGTTTTCCTCTTGGCATCGGTGCAAACTTCATTCAGAGTGGAGCAATACTAACAGTAGAGTTATTACAATCAGCTGGGGTCCTGTTGTGCAGCCTTTAAATACAGGAAGAAAAATGTTACCAACCCCAACCTAAAGTGTCATAAAATGAATAGCTAGCCTATATTTGAGTTGGACACCACTTGTATGATTTTACAGTTTCATAGCATTTTCACCAGCACATGCACACACAGAAGTAAGGAGGTGTAACCCTGTAAAAAGTACCATACATCCACTCATCTGTTAGTAAATGCACAGCTGGCCATTTCTATAACGTAAATGTGAATTTTTTTGCACAAAGTTGAACAAATAAGCTACTTTCCCTGTGTATGTAGTAAGTTGGTGAACTTTGGATCAGTCCAAACTTTCCGCCATATGTACATACGGCACAATTCATGTGTTTATGGAAATTGCAGCTGTGTAGTTATTGTGTAGCAGAAGCCGCTTATACACTTAATGCCACTGTATCAAAGCTTCTGAAAGCCATTTTCCATCTTATTCCCACATGTACTGTATGTTGTGTAAAATGTATTAACATGTACTATATCATAAGTATATATGAATATATAATTACTTGAGGTGCAGTAAATATTTGCCATGGATCAACAAATTCAGTAGGCCCTAAATAGTCGAATAAGTCGTTTGAGGGGGCTGCGTCTCCACGAGTGAACGAGGAAAACATTTTGTGTATTACTTTTGTATTATTTGGTCTTACCCTAATAGATATTAAATAGTTCTTGTTGCATCCTGTTTTGTTATGTGATGAGTTTGCATACGGGTACTATACAGTTGTAGATATGGAAAATGTAACTTTTTTTTTAAATGAACTATTGACTTTTAGGTGTAAATAGCTGTGTCGAGTAGCTGACCTTCAATTTCTTCTGTCCAAATACAAACCTTAAATATTCTAATATTCATCTCACCTCCGACATAATTGAATTTTGATTCTTTTCTAGGTTAAAACTCGCTAAAACAAAAAAAAAAATCCAATTTAGCCTAAACATGGTGATGAACAGTGATGTGGTTTCTTTTTACATCATAAATTACAATTCATAAACACTTTTATGGATGCTTCACTTTTAAGGAAGGTTGATGATTTGAATACTCCAAACGAATCAGGGGCATTTGTATATATCATTCATTTCATACCTCAGCACACTGTATCCGATTATTACAACTGGAAATGATATGGTAGTGGAGTAGTAACTAAGTAACCTATAATAAATTACAGAGTTATAAAATATAACAAAATGGTTCTAATAGATACAAATAGCTCTAATTATAAATATTCCAGATGCTGATCACTATGCTAGACAATCTCCCAGTTTATATTTGTTATATTTGTTCAACCTGCCATCAGCAGCCAATCAGCAACTAAGTTTAAATCAGAGAGGGAATAGAGCAGGTTAATGAGGGTGGCAATAAAAGAAAAACACAAGAGGAAGCCCATTGCTTTCTCCATATCCCCCCCTGACTCGTATTTCTGTAGCTTTGCTCTTTGCTAGTGCCATCGTCCCTGCTGGTAGCATGAGATGGTACTTGCAGCCTATTCAGGTTGCATATCCATGCATGCTGTCACAAGAAAATTTACTGGGTCTTCCTGCACAGTCCAGCACAGAAATGGAGAAGGGCATCAACCAGGCAGCAGGACCAGCCCCTTTGTGCGAAGAGGAACAGGAGGAGCTCTCCAAAGTGACCTGCAGCAGGCTACTCGTGTAAATGTTTTGTCAGAAACAATGAGATCTGCCAGTGAAGCGCCATGTGAGCACATGTGACAGATGTGAAAGGGTCTGGACACAGCGTGTTCAAAATTACGCTACCAGCAACATCATCCAGCATGATCCTTCAAGGCATATTCTTGAAGGATACCATAAACCTCCATGTTCCAGCCAGCAGTACCAGGCTAAAACCCTCGGATCTGATGGTGGCCTCACCCATCATGTTCCCCAGGCACATCCATGACTTTATCCAAGTCTGGGGGAAGATTCCCAGCACACCATCCACCATCACTTCACGAGTGTTCCCAGATGTTGGGAGTGCACATGCAAGTGGGGGCTGTAAACAGTAATGAGTACTAAATGAGCTGCATCAGCCTGTAATTTGAATTTTTAACTCTGCTTTTTGTGGTTTTGAATCCAGCGCTCAACAAGCTGCTGAAAGGGTTTACACTGACCGTTATATCATTTCATTCTCAACAATTTATACTGCATCCATGCTTACCAGTAAAGATTTTCATCTTGAATATTTCATTCATCAAGAGCCAATGTATATTTTAAGTGTTTCCTTAATTTCCTGGAGGTGTAAAAAGAATTTATGGATTCCTAAACACTGCTCTAAGAGATTAAGTATTTACCCAATTATTCCAATAAACAACAGACTTAAAGGATATCAATCCTTTGTAGTAATGTTTGTAAACTCACTTGAGTACAAATATTTGCTAAATAAGCAACAGAAACAAATTCCCAAAGGTTTTGTATTTATGTAGTTATTTACACCTTTGCCAAATTTTGAGTCAAATATTCAATTTGTACAATTTTAGTTATATTTAAGTATTTGAATACATTTTCCACACTTGGCAATAAGAATAATGTAAAACCAGGGAACTCTGAAACTAAACTTTAACATCACTACTAATTACTGCACTTGAGATAAAACCAGATAAGAGTTACCTTACTCTGAATGTGCCGGTAGATTTTACCTCATTTTAACTATTTTTCTTTTAAATACATAAATTATTACACTACATTGTAAATATGCAACTACATAATAAAATTGTGTAAATTACTTAATACACATTACAACTGCCACCTAATCATCAACTTTAAATTATGGAGAAATATGTTTGATATTCAAGAGAAACACAAAAAAAAAAAAAAAAAAAAAAAAATATGCTACTGAATAAAATGTAAATTAAAACAATTGAAAAACTTTACAACTCCAATGCTACACATGAATACCAGTGATAATCTTAAAATTCTTTATTCATAAACTTGATGCAAGTTTACAAATTACTGTACATGGTCAAAATTTCTTCAAATGGAAAAAAAACCAAAAACAAGAAACCCAAAATGAGCCAAGAGTGTCAGACTTGTTGGTGCCAGAAAATGAATTGAGATAAATGATACACAGTCCAGTTAGAGAAGCGCCCAATTACCATTGCATGACCGTCAAACTTGAATCGTCTCAGTATCTGCTGTGACCCAAGCTTTTGCATTTTGAAGGGAGGCAGTCACACATGTGGATAAAGGGTCTGTAACAGAGGGTTTAATGTGCACCTCCTCTCTACACCTGACCACACGGGTCCCCATCATTGGTGAAAGTGTCTTGATAAAAGATATTAACCTCCACCCTCAGATACATCCTGTTGTCACAGGTCTGATGTAAGCAGTGTGCTGAGAACAAAAGAAATTCTGATCAGAAATTATTCACGATATGACACCTCTCTGGGGAGAAGGGGGGTGGGGGGGTGAAAAAATAATCAAAAAAATCAGTGAGAGCAATTACACAGACTGGTCAACATGCTCCTTGCAATCCAGCACTCGCTATGTAAATTGCTTTATTACAAAGTCATGCGACCTGTGTTTTAAAGTTCAGTTCATCAGTGGGCAAGTATGTCAAAACATTACTGAAACTGCGCACTAATTAAACCCAGAAAGTCACCCGCAGCTCAACATGGACATGTACCGATCCCCCTCCTAAGTATTGTTTGTTACCTGAGTTGCCATTCAAATGTACTTTTGCAGACAGTGTTAGCAAATAAACTGCAAAAGAGCCAACAGATTGATAGATACAACGTGTGTCCTGTAATTTGGGGAACAGCAGCACTCTGTGTGTACTACAGGATATTTCAAGGTCAAAGTTTGAATGTACAGTTTTATAATCACACTACTAAATCATCCTTTTCCACAAGCAACACTGAAACACACCTGTGCTATATTGTAATGGCAGAGGAAGCCCTACAGATAATGGACATTTAGCTCCAAGTCATGTCGAGTGACAGGGTGGCAAACTTTAAATGGGCAGGGAGGGGAACGAAAAACAAAACAAAAACAAACAAACAAAACACTACAACAAATTTATGCGAGGATGATATGACAAGTTTGCTTTAAAATTAAATTAAAAAAAAAA